AAAATCTGAGAATCGTCCCGAATTCCTATTTTATGGATCTAAAATGCCAAAAATGAGGAACGGTCGTGTGAAAATTGTTTATTAGGTAATTTTTATGGGCCCGTAAAATTTTAGGAGATTCGGGGTCAGTCCGCCCGAATTCATGCAGATGTCGTGAACTATAGCACACGAAAATCTAGTAATCGTCCTGAATTCCAGTTTTATGGCCCTAAAATGCAAAAAATCGAGAACCGGTCATGGCAAAGCGATGACTACTATTTGTTAGGTCTTTTTAATATGCCCGCTAAATTTAGTAGATTCATGGCATGTCGCCCGAATTCATGCAGATGGTATGGACTATAATATTCAAAAATCTAGGAATCGTCTTGAAATATTTTTTATGGCCCTAGAACGCCAAAACACTAGGAAGGATCATGGAGAAGCTATGACTATTGTTCGTTAGTTCATTTTTTATGGGCCCGTAAAATTTTAGGAGATTCAGGGTCGGTCGTCCGTATTCATGCAGATGACGTGTACTATAGCATACGAAAATTTAGGAATCATCCTAAATTCCTATTTTATGGCCCTAAAATGCCAAAACATAAGGAATGGTCATGTGAATCGATGGCATTGTTGATTAGGTTGTCTTTTATGGGCCCGCAGAATATTAGGAGATTCGGAATCGGTCGCCCGAATTCAATTAAATGGCGTGGACTATATTACATGAAAATCTGGGAATATTCCTGAATTCCTATTTTATGGCCCTAAAACGCTAAAAGACGGGGGAATGTATCGGAAAAGTGATGATTATTGTTCATTAAGTCATTTTTGACATGCCCGTAAAATTTTAGGAGATTCGGGGTCAGTCGCCCGAATTCATGCATATGGCATGGACTGTAGCACACGAAAATTTGGGAATCATCCTGAATTCCTGTTTTATAGACCTAAAATACTAAAAACGAGGAACGGTAATGGTGAAACGATGACTATTTTTTATTAGGTCATTTTTTATGGACCCATAAAATCTGAGATTCGGGGTCATCGGCTGAATTAATGCTTGATGGTGTCGACTATAGCACACGAAAATCTGGGAATCATTCTCAATTCCTGTTTTATGACCCTAAAACATCAAAAACGAGTAACGGTCATGGCAAAGCGATGACTATTGTTCATTAGGTCATTTTTATGGGGCCGTAAAATTTAGAAGATTCGGCATCAGTCGTGCGATACATGCAGATGGCGTGGAATATAGCACACAAAATTCTGGGAATCATCCTAAATTCCTATTTTATGACCCTAAAACACCAAAAATAAGGAACGGTTATGCGAAGCAATGACTATTGTTCATAAAGTCGTTTTTGATATGCCCGTAAAAGTTTAGGATATTTCATGCAAATGACGGAACTATAGCACACGAAAATCTGGGAATCGTCCTGAATTCCTATTTTATGGCTCTAAAATGCCAAAACAAAAAGGAATAGTCATGCCGAAGTGATGACAATTGTTCATTAGGTCATTTTTATGGACCCATAAAAATTAGGAGATTCGAAGCCGGTGACCCGAATTCATACAGGTGGCGAGGACTATAACACACAAAATTTTGGCAATCGTCATGAATTCCTGTTTTATGGCCTTAAAATGCAAAAAATCGAGGAACGATCAAGTGACTATTGTTCATTAAGTTATATTTCTGGGCCCGCAAAATTTTAGGAGATTCGGGGTCGGTCGCCCGAATTCATGCAAATAGCGTGGACTATAGCATATAAAAATTTAAGAATCGTCTTGAATTCCTATTTTATGGCCCTAAAATGCCAAAAGTTAAGGAACGGTCATGGAGATGCGATGAATATTGTTTGTTACATCTTTTTTATTAGCCCGCAAAATTTTAGGAATTCGGTGCCGGTCGCCCGAATTCATGAAAATGGTGTGGTCTATAGCACACGAAAATCTAGGAATCGTCGTAAATTTATGTTTTATAGCCCTAAAATGCCAAAACGTGAGAAACGGTCATGGAGAAATAATAATTATTGTTTATTAGGTCATTGTTTAAGGGCCCGTAAGATTTTATGAGATTCGGAGTCGGTCTTCCGGATTCATGCAGCTGGCGTGGACAAGCAAAAGAAAATCTTATAATCGTCCTGAATTCCTGTTTTATAACCCTAAACTGCCAAAAAATAAGGAACGGTCATGGCGAATCAATGACATTGTTCATCTGGTCAGTTTTATGGGCCCGCAAAATTTGGGGAGATTCGACCAGAATTCATGCAGGTGGTGTGACCTATCTTACATGAAAATCTGGGAATCGTCTTGAGATCCTGTTTTATTATCCTAAAACGCAAAAAAAAAAAAAA